AGAAAGAAAAATCAAATCAGAATTTCAAATTTTAGAAAGAGGAATAACATTTTCAGAAATTCTGATTTGGTATTCAGTTTAGGAAAGGGATTATAATGAAAATTCAGATTTAGGAAAGAGTAATAAAAATATTCATAAATTCTGATTCAAAAATATTTATGTTAGGAAGGTGCTAAGAAGAAAAGACAGGAAGGGGAGAGAAGCGAAAGGGAGGAACACCCCCCCCCCCCCCTTCTCCCCCTGTGCCACTTTGAGGACGGGTCAATCCTCAATAGCCCCTGCATCACTTTTTCTATTATCCACAGTGATATTTGAGAACCTTCAAAAGTAAGAATCCTAAATGGGGCTAGATGGTTTATCTCAGTTATTGACGATCACTTTCGAACCAGTTGGGTATTCCTAATAAATGAGAAATCTAAAATAACTCAAATCTTTCAAAACTTTCTTGACATTATTCAAACTCAATTTCAATGCAAAATTTAGATCCTCAAAATTGATAATGCAAATAAATGTCTCAACTCTAATTTTGGATCATCCTTTTCATAAAATGAAATCATCTATGCGAGTTCATGTGTTGATACCCCATAACAAAATGAGATAACTGAGAGAAAGTAAAGACATCTTCTTAAGGCATCCCGCTTTATTATGATTTTCCATCAAGTTTCTAAATATTTTTGGATGCAGTCCTTACTGCAACATACCTTGTGAATGGTTAGTCAGGTACTAAATTTCAAAACAGTACTTGATGTCTTAATGGATACATATCCTCGCATCAGAGCTTTCTCTTTTTCTATACCACTTGAAATTTTTGGGTGTGTATATTTTGTATACTTTCATTCTCCAAATCGCATAAAATTGGACCCTAAATTTATCAAGTGTAGTTTTTTTAGGCATGCCTTCAACAAAAAAAAAAAAAAAGCTATAATTGCCACTCAAATTTTACTAGAAAATACTACAACTTCACATTTTTAAAAATCAACCATGCATCCTAAATGTGATGTTAGGGGAAGAGTGCAAATAAACATTAATTTTGGGATGCACTTAATAACACCTACATTACCTCACGACCTATCTTTCTTCCTCTTAGTCCTTCTATCTCCCAAGCTATCATGCACACACACTTCTAATTAAGTCGTGCAATGCTGGGCACGTATTGGATACGGACATGGCTTTAACACTTGTTGGATTCGGCATAGAAGTGCCTTATTTAAATAATATTAAAAAAGGGATAACACACAGAACAAACACAAGACTCACAGGACACAACAACAACACAACAAAGTCTTAATCCCACTAGGTGGAGTCGGCTACATGAATCATTTTTCTCTATTGCGTCCAATTTAGTGTCATATTTTCATTTAGTTCTAATAAATTAAAATTATTTTTACACAGTAAGCCCAAGTTTTCCTAGGTCTACCTTTTTCCTAGGTCTACCTCCTGCCTTTTTTAACATAATTTGAATCTAAAACATCTACTCTTCTAATCGGATCATCAGATGGTTGACGCTTAATGTGACTAAGACATCTAAGACGACTTTCTCTAATTTTGTCCATCACAGGACACAATGTCCTAAATTAATGAATTAAAAATTTTTGAAAAATGTTTTTATGACTAATAAAAAAAATTATATTTATGTAAAATTTAAGAAAGATTTAAATACACATCAATCAATTTTTATGTTACATATCCAACACATAAATTTTAATTTTTACATATATATTACCTTACATATATATATGAAAATATGTATTTCAAAATTTAAAATTGAAAATAGTGATATATTGGATGTGCTAAGAAAGATTTGGGTGGCATAAAGGAAAAATCAAAATTTAGGCATTAGATATGTAAATACATAAGAATTCAGTGTCAAAGAAGTCAATGATCATTTTATTTTTTAAATGATGAATTGATTAAGAGGACTTAAATCTTGATAGAATACAAAATAATATATGATTAATTTTATACATTTTGATTATTTTTAAATACAATTTGATTTTTTAAAAATAATATATATATATATAATATATTATTTTAACTAAAACATGAAACAAAAGTGATGTCAAATAAGCCCTTAATTTTTAGAAGTTAATGTTATTAAATTTCTTATTTTCTCATTTAACTTTTATATATATTTTAATAATTTTTATTATAATTGTGTGTATAATAGGTATTTGTGTCCTATTTTTTCAAAAATAGTTGTACCTGTGTCATGTCGTGTCGTTTCTATGTCTGTGCAACATAGCTCCCAAATACCACTGCATGAAAATATCCGGCTTAAAAATGCCCAATCCACCCAACTTTAAATTCATGATAAAGAATTTCGTGTGTACACGAGAAGGAAGGAAAATCAGGAGTATGTGGAAGACAACTTATAAAAGATAGAACTGTTCCAGCCAAAAATCAAGTCTACACTCACCTGAAATTTTAAGTGAGGAGAAATCTAGAACTCATGAGTTATCTTCTTACTCTTCTGGTGTTGATGGCTAGGAAATCTCTACTAAATATCCAATTCAGGAGTAAGTGGTTTATGTGAAGCTATCCTCACATTATAAAGTTTTTGTATTTAACTTTGATAGCGTGCATATCCCTAAACACATTCATGAAGCTCTTAAAATTTTAGAATGGAGGAAAGTAATTGAATATGTTATTCAAGCACTAAGCATAATTGACACATGAACTTTTACTAAGCTTCCTCGGGATAAGAAACCAACTTGATGCGAATGGGTATTCAATATCAAGTGCAATGTTTATGATGATATTGAGAGATATAAAACGAGAATGGTTGCAAATGGTTCCACTTAAGCCTATGAGATTGACTATCAGGAGACTTTTGCACTGGTTGTCAAACTGAACACAATCACATTTCTCCTCTCAGCAACAACAGTTAACAAGAGGTGGAGGCTGCATCAACTTCACTTTAAAAAATGTCTTCCTGAATGGGTATCTTGAAGAAGTGTGCATGAAGATACCACCAGGACTTGGGAATGATTACAACAAACACTTAGTATGCAAACTCAAAAAGGCACTCTATGGTCTTAAGTAATCTCTAAGTGCATGGTTTGAAAGGTTTGTTAAAACTATGAGATCTAATGGATACTCTCAAAGTCAAGTTGATCGTACAATTTTCATCAAATGCACTCAGAAAAGTAAGATTGTTGCGATAATAGTATGTGGATGACGTGATTCTACTTATTGATGATGATGAAATGAAAATTCTTAAAATCAAATAAGTGCTTACTATTGAGTTTGAAATCAATGACCTAGGAATCATGAGATATTTCTTAGGTATGATGGAGGTAGCAAGTTTCAAAAAGGGCATTGCTATGTCATAGAGGAAATACATCCTAGATTTGTTAAAGGAAACATGAATAATTGGATGCAAACCTGTCGATACTCTTGGATCCGAACAAGAAGTCTGATAGGGGAGAAGAAATGAAAATATCAAAGATTGATAGGAAAACTCATCCATCTATCACATAATATGTCAGATATTGCATACGCTGTCAGTTGAGCTAACATATGAATAACCTAAATGAAGAGCATTCAGAGTGGTGTACAGGATCCTAAGATTTCTCGAGAAGGCTCGTATTTATGGATTATTGTTTTGAGAGAACCAGAAACAAAGAGGTAGACGTCTGCTCTGATGTAAATTAGGCTACATAACTCACTGGCAGAATGTCAACTACAGGTTATTGCTCATATGTATTAGAAAAACTGGTTGCATGGAGGAGTAAAAAGCAAGTTGTCTCTAGAAGCAGTGCAGAATCAGAGCATAGAGCACTGACCTTAGAAATTTGTGAAGGGATTTGGATTCAAGAATTGTTAAGGGAATTGCTGTGTTCCTCTAATAAGCCTATACAAATGTTTTTTGAAGGTCAAGCTGCTATCAGTATTGCCAAAGAATCTTATGCATCACGACAAGACCAAACATATTTAAATTGATATTGCACTTTATCTGAAAAAAAAAGTAAACGTTGGAATTATACAGCTAAATTATATCCTGACACACTAATAAGTTGATGATGTCTTCAGCAAAACACTTTCATTAAGCAACTTCTAAGAGTTTAATACCAAGCTTATCCTCTACAACATCTACGGCCCTGCTTGAGGGGAGAGGATCGGCCTCCCTATTAATTGGAGATAATTTGGAAAACTCTTTGATTAGTTTTATTCTCTTCATATTTATGTTCGTAATTATTTTCTTTCCATGTTTAGGCTAGATATATTTAGTAAGATTGTAATTTAAGGGGACCAGTTTACCGATTTATGTAACCTTATGGTTGAAGATTGAATAATAAGAATTAAGAATTGCCTCTCAAGTTTTTCTTCACCGTCCTGACTTGGGGGCTCGTTTGGTTGCTTGTAAAATGAAAAGTTGTTTTATAAAATGATGATTATATTATCACTTATTTTGTGCGTGAAAAATTAAATCCAAGAGAATTCATAAGGCTTTTGAAGTTTGAAATCGATGCTAGACTGTCATTCAACCAAATAACTACTTGAGCAAATTTCTGCATTTAAAGGGAGATTTACATACATACCATGCAATTCTATGTATTTACGTATCTAACACCTAATCCTCAATTTTTACATACATGTTACCTTAACTATGCATGAAAAGTTGTATTTAATTTCTTAAAATTTAAAATAGCTGTAATTTTTATGTGATATGAAAGATTTGGGTGACCTAAATGTAAAAAAGTAAAATTTAGGTGTTAGATATGTAAATACATAGGAATTCGGTGGTATGTATGTGAATGCCCGTTATTTAAAACATGATTCCTTCTTTAAAGCAACCAAATGACCCCTAAATAGAATGGAGATATGTAGCCGTTCTTGTGCTTTAACTCTGATTCTCTGAATCCTCAAAAGTCTGATTTAAATTCCAAAGTTATATCCCTTTCATTTCAGCCACACAACATGCCTTTTAGATATCCTCAGCTTTGTGCATTCAGACAGGTATTCTTATTCTAATCTTCTATACATTCTATATGGTGTAGATTGTAAATCCGCACAATAAGAATATTAGAGATATACCCGGGCTCGCACCGCCAGCACAAACCTCAAGGAAACTTCTGTCAACAATTCCTTCTGAAGGAACCTTTCAATATTTCTAATGGAGATCATTTTCCTGATGCCATTTTCCAGAGTTCCTCACCTCAAGGCTCATCCATGCAGAGATTCAGTTAAGTGGTAATTTTCTCCTTAAATTCTTTAATATATATTCCATCCTCTTAACAATTTAGTGGTTCAGAAAAATACAGAAAAAACTTTCAGTATTATTATGTTTAATATTGATATGCTTCTCTAGCTTGTTTTTCTCTTCATTTGTATATGCTTTAGATCAACCAATGTATTATTATGTGTTTCATTTGTTTGCATCTAGCTGTAATTACTATAGTTTGTTGGACTTTTAGATGATTTTTTTATTCATGAGATGAATGTGATCATATGTGTCTTATGGTCTAGATTTAAGTCGAGATTTATTTAATATTGCTATTTACAAATTTAGCTCCCTCTTTCATTCATTTTTCAAATTCTCGCTCAAATATCAAACTTCATGATTAACCGCAACCCACATTTTTTTTTTTCATTTTTATCAAATTCTCAATGCTTTAATCGCGGCACGTGTAAATACATTGGTTCGATAGTTCAAAATTATCATATGGATGCTAGATTTTGTATATAGCAATATTCTGGGTGCTATCCATGTAATTCTCCCAAGTTTAAAATATGAACATGTTCGAGATATAATTGAATGTTAAAAAATGTGTTTCATATCAGAGGATTAAAGCATTGAGTTTCATATCCTCTGGTCTTGCAACCTTCTCCTTTGAAAGTAGAATAATAAACAAACCTATTTTATGGTTTTCTTCCCAAAGAAGTCATTATTTATCTTTGTACCCATGGAAGATGAAATGTATCCCACAAATATGAATTACCTGTAATTACACAAACACCAAATGGTCTCTAACTTTCATAGATTGTCTCATCAATAAGAAAAAAATATTCCATCAGGATACCAGACTCAAAATTTGCGTCTGGAGTCCGATGAACATATGTCACGTGGAAAGTACCCACTAGACTTCAGACGCAAATGTGTCCGATGTCCTGGTGAAATAATCTCTCCACGAATAAAATCTCTCACAAAAGCACACCTAACAATGCATCATCTAGTGATTCAACAAAAAAAATTTATTCTTCTAAGGACAACTAAAATTGAATGTGTATCCGGTAAGCAATGCATCGTCTAGGATATTGAATGTGTATCGGCTAACTATAGTCTCCTCGACCAGATCTAAAAGGAATAAGATTCTTTTCGCATTCTAAATTCAATATTAATGTCGACGGCGTAAGATGTCAACTGAGAAGCTCAACGTCGAGCAATTATTTCTTCCTTCTTTTTCGTTAACATAACGTGTGCATGCTCAAATATGGTAATGAGATTTTTCTATCTCTATTTTCTCGTTGGGATAAATACATATAGATCACCTCGCAATATTGATATTTATAAATTAATCATCCAGTTCATTTTTTTGAACAACCTAACCAATTTGTTTATGCCTGTCACGATCAAATGAAAAATGTGGGATGGGGCTTTACCATGAATTTGATATTAGAGTCAAAATCTGAAAAATGGATGAAAGAGGGTAGGTTTAATTTGAAAATAACAAGTTTAAGGTGGTCTATATGTAATTGTCCATTTATCATTTTGTCCTCTTTTTGGAGTATAAATCAAACAATCTTTGTGCTTGCATCATAGTTTTGCACTAATTGGTTGAAGTGTGTTCCTCTTTTTTTTCTTTCTCAAGGGAAATTTACATACTTAGGACACAATTGTTATGTATTTACACATCAAGCTTCTAAACTTTCATATTTAGATTTATAACACTCAAGTTCTATAAACTCATGTATAAAAAAATGTGTATTTCACTTTTTTTTTTTAAAAAAAAGTACTAGTGATATTTTTAATATGATATCAAATATTTGCGTGTTATGTACTTAAATATGAAAGATTAGCGGTTATATATGTAAATACATAGGATTTATGTGGTATTTCTCTGATAAATATTTTTTTGATCATCTCCATTGTGAAATATCACCTTTAGGGAGGTATTTGGCTGCCTTTTGGATTTAAGTTAAATAGGATTTACTAAATTCAAATTTGTGTTTGGTATTATTTAGGGCTAAATACAGTTAAGTTCCTAACAAATGTTTGGCATTTGTTTCTTGAGATTTAACAAATGAAGGAAGTCATTTTCTTAAGTTCACTCCGAGTTCGGATTTAATAATTTTGGGATTAACGTCATGCCAAAGAAATTTTTAGATTTAGCTCACAACGGGATTTAAATGCTCTGAATTCGTGTTTGGCGGACTTACGTTAAATTCATGCGTAGAATTTGCCTGTAAATAGCGTATTAAACCGCCTTAGAGTTAGGGATGTAAAAATGGATCGTTGTTCGTGAACAGTTCGTGTTCGACTCATTAAGAAGCTCGTGTTCGTCCCCTTAATTTCTTTCGATAAGTTAACGAGCCAACACGAACTAAAACACGAACTAAGATGTGTTTGTTCGTGTTCAGCTCGTTTTGGCTCGAAATACTACTCATCAAGTCTATATATATATATGTATAAAGTAGTAATTTAATTGACTACAAGACTACAAAGATTAATAATCAATTAAAATTATTAATTAGAAAATTGAATAAATATATACTAAATTTTATTTAAATGAATATTTTAATATAAATAATAAAGTTTAAATCTCGCTCTTACCTCTAACATTTTATGGCTGTGTGAATAGGATTATCAAAACAACTTATTGTGCATGAACAGTTCGTGTTCGACTCGCTAAGCAAACGAGCCGAACAAGAACACACTTTTTAAGCTCGAAATATAAACGAGCGGAACCCGAGCTGAGCATGGCTCGCTCGTGTTCGGCTCGTTTACACCCCTACTTACAGTTCAATAACGCATCGAGGAATATGATGATTTATTAATCAAGTAAAGGTCATTAAAAGTAGAAATATGATGGAGATATGCTAAAGAAAACAAAATTTTTTATCATCATCATGGATTATCTAATTTCAACCAAACTTGTTTCAATTGTTATGTTTTGCTAGGTTAAATTGTACAAAAACACTTGATGATGATGGTATTGATGATGATGATGATGATGATGATAGAACTCATGATTAAAAATTAGTTAGACCAACATTTTGGGAGGGCTCATAAATAAACAGATTCACCAACTCAACAGTTCATACAAAATGATTTATTTTAATGGTATTTTTACATAATATATTTTTAAAATATTGAATATAATATTTTAATAATTCAAATTTTAAATTTATATTTTAATCACTCAAAATTATCACTCAACGCCGTCGCTCGTAGGTAAAAAACGGTCTTTGTAATTAAAAAAATAATAAAAATATTATATTTAAAGTTTAGGGTGGTTAAAATGTTATATACTTTTGAGTAATTGATACGTAAAAATCCCTATTTGAATTGACAATGGAGCCAAATTAAATATTTTTAAAATTTTTAAATTAATATTTATAGCGAAAATGAATATATGATGATGTAGAGTGTAGACATTTGTTAGACATTGACTCACTAACCTAATACGAATTAGCTAACGGGACAAGTTTCAAGCTTTTTATATGAAAGCTTTAAAAACGTGTTAGGTCGTTTTTCTCATATAGACCCATTAACCAACTCATTAACCAACCAATCACATGGTTGAGTTAGGTTTCAAGCTTATTATGTTAAAAGTTTCCAAATAAGTTAGCTAAAATTAAATACGCGAGTATTTTAATGAAAATCTAAACGACATGCGTCCTCAAAAAATTATTTTAATCATGCACGAATATCAGCATATTTTGAACATATTCAAATTTAAGATCATCCGGGGTCTTGATTCCAGCAAGCTTGTAGTCAAATTGGCCATCTCGGCAAGGAGGTGAAACCAATGAAGTCAAAATTGGTTTGGTTTGAGTCCTATCTAGACAATACAAAGTCGTTTAATCGCAATTGGAGGATTTGAATGGATTATTGAATGGACAAATGGATTCCAAATTTGGCTCTTGTCGAGATGAATCTAACGAGCTCAAGTTCACTCAATTTTGACATTATTAAAACACTTGAACGCTCATAGAATACGATTCGATCAAAGAGATCACTTTGGGCCTCCCGATCGAGTGATCTAACACTAGCATGCTATCACAAACAGTTTCAAACTCAAGCCTAAAAGTGCCAGAACATTAAAAATTAATAATAATATGATACCCCTAAATTCTTATCTATTTACATATCTAACAGCACAATCCTAAATTTACATATTTGCCACTTTACCCTATTCATGAAAAGACTCACTTTTTAAAAATAAAAATAGGGATATTTTTTAGGTGATATAAAAGATTTGGGTGGTACAAATGTAAAAAGTAAAAGTTTAGGTGTTAGATATGTAAATACATAGGTTAAACCCTAAATTTGAAAAAAAAGAAAAAATAAAAGAAAGATGTAAAGGTATGAATTAAATGCTTTGATTATTATATTATTTTTACAAATGGCTTTCAATAAATGATGAAACATTCATTTGTAATGAATGACAAAAGCTTACCCTCTGCATTGAAGCATTGCTTTAAAATCATTTTAATGCACTAATCTTAAAGAGTTATTGCATTGGTCAATCATTAAGCTAAGGCTCTCCATTAAGGTCTTAATTATCATTACAAAATGAAGGCTAATCATTATGAGCTTGCGTACAACTAGAAAGTGACTACTCAGACCATCACAAGCTTAGATGGCTCTAGATGCACCCATCAGCAGGAGAGCTATTTTTGACGACCGAAGCTAAAGAATACGAGCATCATTGACAGTTGACCGAACACGATAACAACTATCATAGGAGGGTCGAGCATCAGAGGCTGAGTGTTGGATGCCGAGCGCGAAAGGTCGAGTGTCAATGACCGAGAACACGTCCATAAGTATGCTCAATTGCTTGAAAGGCAGGCACATTCTCTGTCTGAACCTCTCCATCTAACTCTCTTTATCCCCCTAGTCAAGTCCTTCCTCTCTCTCTCTCTCTCTCTCTCTCTCTCTCTCTCTCTATTTATGCTCTATTTCTTAGATATGATTCAAACATAAATCTAGCTCGACTACTTCATTAAAGTTTGCTCACACTATAACAAAATATGGCTCAAGCTCATCAAATATCAAGCATGAATTAATGGAATTGATTAAAGCTTGCATACACCATACAAACTAAAAAAAATGATATTTCAGGTTAATTTATTTAACTAGGGTATTTTTATTTTTATTTATTACCAAAAAAATAATTAAGTAAAAAAGACTTCATTAATTATATAGTCATGTATTTAATAAATCATATTTTGGGTAAATTCACCTTAGCTTAAAAACATACATTTTCAAAAAGAATATTATACATCCATTTTATAAAAATCTTCATGTTATGATAGAAATAAAAAAAATTCATTTATTTATATAATTAATAAGTTTCTCATATCAGTTGGTCGAGCATCTACTTGTCAGTTGTAAGTCTCCTCTGGTATGGGTTTGATTCCCTCCGAGTAGGGTGAGGTGCTCGAATTATAGACGCATTAAGGATGATCGAGACTCGTATCATAGCCTTTGGTCATTCCTTAATATATATTTATATATATATATATATATATATATACTAAAAAGGAGCTCATCTACCTATCTATTCTTTTGCATCCAAATCATTACTTGTATGATATCATGATTTATAATTATGCACTTACATAAAACATTACTTGTATGATATCATGATGCATAATTATCTGCTTACATATGGCTTTTCCTCCTTTTTAAAAGTAGAAATCAGACACAGCTACAAATCGAGAAATTTTCTGAAACACAATCCTTATATTTACACCAGAAATCTAGTTCACTAAAGATCTGCAAAACTACACTTCAGAAAATTATTTATTAGATTCAGCACCTACCAGATGTTACCAGTTGAAACAAGAACAAAGATTGGGAGCACACAGCAAAGTACAAGAGAGATTGTGCCACACCTTATGCTGCTACTTGGGATATCAGACCCATAATCTGTGTTTGAGCTTGAGCCCCCAAAGGAATTGTTGTTGTTCAGCACTGTTGGTCCCGAAGAACCTGAACCTGAGACTGAACCCAAACCAGAACCGGAACCGGAACCCGAGCCCGAGCCTGTGCTCGAAGCAGGATTGAAAACCGAAGCGGGGTTCGAACCAGAAGTGGGATTGAAGCCGTAGACGGGATTCAGACCGGTCGAAGGATATAAACCAGTTGTAGGATTGTAATTAGAAGTAGAACTGCATGGTAGAGGAAAAAGTATCAAGCCACATTGAAAAATGAATAAGCTTTTAGGGGCATTTACATACATACAGCCCAATTTCTATGTATTGACATATCTAACACTTAAACTTTACTTTTTTACATTTATACTGCTAGAATCTGTCGTATCATATCAAAAATATCACTATTTTAAACTTTCAAATGTGAAATACACTTTTTCTTTTTATGCATAGGTAAAGTGGCATATATATATATATATATATACATATATATATATATATATATATTATATGTGTGTGTGTGTGTGTGTGTGTGTGTGTGTGTGTGTGTGTGTGTGTGTGTGTGTGTGTGTGTGTGTTGTGTGTGTTGTGTAAAAATTGAAGTACAAAAAAGTTGTTTTCATGAAGAATAGAAGATTCAGAATGTGTAGGCATTGGAAGGCATAAGAATGTTACTCTTACCTTGATGATGGATAAATGCAAGTTGCTGTGCCTGAAACAATTCATAAAGGTGTGAAATTAAGTTCTGAAACGCATAAAAAGAAGAGGAATTTACAAACATACCACCCAATTCTTATGTATTTACATATCTAACACCTAAACTTCGCTTCTTACATTCATATACTATCCAAATCTTTTATATCACATAAGAAATACCACTATTAAAAAAGTGAAATACACCTTCTCATATAAAGGTAAGGCAGCATGAATGTAAAAATTGAAGTTTACCTGTTAGATATCTAAATACATAAGAATTGATGTTATATATTTAAATCTTCCTACAAACAACAAAAAAGCTGCAAATTTTCTAGTTTTTCTTACTTGGATTGACAGTGACAATAATAGCAGTTCCACTGAAATCGCAGCTTGACGGAACCGGATTCCGTTGATAATAATTATTGAAAGCGTATGATGCATGAGCTTGAAGTGTGTTTGGATTGTAGCAGCTCCCAATCTCTTGTATTGCTGAGCAATCAGCCCCTCCCATCCCACAAGCATAATCTAAAGCAGCCTGGAGATCAAAATCTGGCAAACCTGGCTTCGCCACACACCAAGTTTGTCCCGAACCGGTCGGCGATACTGTAACCGTTCCGGGATTAGCGACCGGAGTGTTGAATGGCGGCGCCATCGAAGGAATCATCGTAGGATTCGTCACAGGAGTCGTAGTGGGGTTTGTCACAGGCATTGTTGGAGGAGAGAATATGGGATTCGTCGAAGGAATGGTTATTGGGAGGTCAGTAGGATTTGTGGGGTTTGTGATGGGGGTTGAATATGGATTTATTGAAGGGACTGTGATTGGAGAAGTGAGGGGATTCATTGAGGGGTATGTGGGAAGAACCGTGGAAGGGTTGTTGGAAGGGACGGTGATAATGGTCGGAATTGGTGTAGGAAATGTCGATGGAACTGTGATGGGCATCGTTGTAGGATTCGTCGTGTAAGTGGCGTGAATTTTTTCTTTGATTGGTCGGCTCACTTCGCCAAGAAGTTCTCGGTGGAAAGATTGGAAGGAAGGGATATGAATGCAAAAACCATGAATCCTATCCTTGAGTTTAGGATAGATTTCTAAAAATGCTGGTATTTTTTTCATTGATTCGGACATTTGCTTTGGAATAAAGCTCTTCGAGCTCAAAACAAAGGAGATGTCGAGGTTAGGAAGAAGGGAGTAAGTTAAATTTGCAGTTTTAATGAGATGGTGGAAGAAACCATCTCCTAAAGTCAAGTCTGTAAGCACCTCAACAGCAAGAGAAGATTGAGATTCTCTTACAAATTTAACAATGTTTTGCAAATCCTTCTCTGAATTAATAACCAAGTTTTGAAGCACTGGCAAGGAAAACATGGCTGAGATCTTAATGTTCTTATCAAGCTTAGCAGATTTCAGAGCAGATTGGACTGAAAGCAATGTTGGAAAAAGAAGAGGGCTATCTTCACTAAAACTAACAACTATGCTTGTAATGTTCCATTGAAGGAGAACTTCTCGTGCCGACGATTTGTAAACTAATTTGGATTGTAGAAGCCTTTTAGCTTCTTGTGGATCGACCAAAAGATTAATTGACGCCCCGCCGATTGAGAAATATTGTGAGAAGGACAATGGTGCTAAAAGGAGGATTTTTAACTGCATATTAATCTCATGGAAACTTTCTTCATCTCTTATTGGCCATGGGGTAGAGCTCTTTTCGGTTGCTTTGCGAGAGAAACTCACAAAAATACCTAAAAGTTGGAGAACATTTACATATTAAACAATCACATAGCAAACAATTCACAATTTGGATTTAAAGATCCAAAATAAAGTAGCCGTATCCCAAATTTGCTTGAAAACATGTGATTTCGTGTTAAGTTGTGGAGTATAATTTTTACCCCAAGACTTACTTAAGAGTCAAGAAAAAGGAGCATTTACAATCATACAACACAGTTCTCATGCATTTACATATCCAATACCTAAAGAATCATATTTATAAACAAACTATTCAAAGCTTCAACATCACATATCAAAGACAAAAACACATCCATCACCGTCATTTTAAAAATGAAATACATCTTTGCACAAATAAATTTATGACCCCCAGATGTTACAAGTATATATATATATATATATATATATATTTACATACTATGAAGATAAGGAATGGCCAAACTATATATATATATATATATATATATATATCTGTGTGTGTGTGTGTATCTATATTTGTGTGTGTGTACATATATGTCTTTCTAGTTGAATAAATCCTCCGTCCATATGGCCAACCACCGGGTGTCACGTCACTAGCCTATGAGGTGTATAGCGAAGTGGTGGCCAGTGTTTGGCCATCAAGACTTAATATTTTCCCCTAATTCAGCCCTCTCTCTTGCAATTTCATGCATTGTTCTTCTTTGCCATTTTCTATTCTATTTCACTCTCTATGTTTCAATTTGGTTTGCCCTATTTTCTTCAATTTATTTACTTAAAAAAATAAAAAAAATACTAGAATTCCCCGCATCAAATTTACCGTAATAAAACTTAAATCTTTGAACTACCACATCCTTCTTCTATTAGGGTTTGATCAAAATACAAGCAGCATAAAAAGTTCAATTTTACATAGGATTCTAAACATCTTAACCGCCATTGAAAACCAATGCCTGGTTTTGCAACATTTTCATTCCTATCTTGGGCGAATCATAAATAGTTCATTCGATCTGCTTGTCTGCGATCGAAAGAACCCAAAAAAATGAAATATTCACAGTCCTTTGTAGAGATTGAGATCCGAAACCTAACCTGTACTATGAGAGCTGCACAGAAAAGCCAGAAGGGCAAAAATGAAGCTCTTTGCCGCAAAGCTCGAAGCCATTGTAGCAAAGATTGGAATTTGGAAGCAGATTCGAAACGAAATTTTTGCTCAGTTTTATGTGATCTCTGTCCCAAATCGAGTAAGAGACCTCATTGGAGAAGGGTTTAGGGCAAAAAATTGAGAAATGCAGTAGAAAAATGGTCTGAATGGTGGAGAAAAAGAAGAAGCTGATGAGGAAAGTTGATGGGATAAAGCATAAAGCAGCGAGTGACAGTGAAAAGTAGACTGGAAATTATAAAACAAAAAAGTAAAGTTCAAAAGATTAGATTACATAGTAAGGACGAGGGAAGGCAATTTGGCAAAGGATGAATCTTTAAAGGAGGTTTTTTTTTTTACAATTTAATTGCAAACATGCATCATAATTTTTTATGACAAAAGAGTCTCTTTGGAGTTTCTCTAATTAAAAATAATAATTTTAAAATTATGGTAAGAAAATAATTTCTTAGTAAGCTATCTATTAACTATTTTTTTTATAATCGTCACATTTTAATAAATAAATCTAAAAATATCACCAAAAATGCTACATTTCCAACACAAAATTATGAGGGCAATCTAAAATGCAAAACAGACAAAAAAATCATCTCAACCAGATCTACAATTAAAAAAATTAATCTATACCAACAAATTAAGATGACTCTTGTTATTAAATAATTTTATTATTGCCCTTTTATTTATATGTTTTTATTTAGTTTTAAATCTAAATTACAATTTATTCAATATAAAAAAGAAAAAAAAATGAAAAGATAAATTGAGATTTATTTTATTCCTTTAAAAGTTATTTACTTTGTTCCCAAGGGGCTATACGTGGATATTGAACCTTTACATGACAATATTTCTCTTTTTGGTCAACTTATATTTAAAAATATATTACACTACATCTTTTTTTTTAAATATATATATATATATATATATATATGCACAAAGGTATGTATGGTAATGGCCAACATGATTTAGGGATATTTATCTCATAAAGATGTATAATGGTGCAAGAGAATATTAAAAATGCATACATATAGAATGTAGTAAAAAGATAATATCATTTTTAAATATTGTGCTTATGATTATATTTAAAAAAGTGAATTATATGTTTTGAAAATAGTTTTTTTTTTAATCCTATAAATATCTATTTTAGATTTTTTTAAATATATTTACTTATTTATAAGTTAGTAAGGTTAATTGGATTTATTAAATGAATAAAATCCTCTTAAATGTGAGTTGCCTCATAAGTAACTTATTACATGCCCAAGTGACATGATCATAACCATCCAATTTTGATCCAAGGACACGGGGACACTTTGTGATAAAGAGATAGCATATAATCTAAGAAAATAAGGCAAGATGCAAGATGTGAAGGACATGTTTTTTATATTTTATTATTAATAAAAATATATTTTTTTTTCATTAATCTCTTACTAATGACATCACAAAAATAAAGTATGCAAAAATAAAATTTAACTTGTATGATAAAATCACAAGCTTACAAAAATCAAATATCATCATTAGAAATATAATATATTTCAAAAGAATTCCTCCAACAACTAAATTTCAAATATCTTGTCAATTAGTTAAATTAAAATTTAACTTTTATAGCTAGAATAAGTATATATTTATTGCTATTAACATATTAAAAAGTTTAAAAAAAAACTATAAATTATCACTTACTGAATTAGGGGATAGAAGCGTCGGCGCAAGCATCACAAAGTTCAACTTCAGCGTCAGCACAAAGTATTTGGATCAACTCAAAGACTAACACGTTTGAGTCCTGCTCAGGTAGCAACAACGGAGGACTTTAGAGTGTGCGAGTTTGACTTTGATGAACAAAAGAAAACTCCAACGTTCAGCTTCGATGAATGCAAACTAAACTTTTGAGGCAAGATCTAATACAACGGTGCTCGATTTCAATGAATATTAGATGCAATTTTGATGCTCGATTTTAAAAAATTTTAGTGGAACGGCAAACAAAAAAGAATTATCCACACTCTATTTCAATGAATATTGAATGCATATTCGATGCTCTATTTTGATGAATGTTATATTGAGCTTTTACATGAAGAGAGAGGAGGTGGCTTCACTGTGAGATAAAATTAAGTCTATATATGTCATAAATTTCTACTTGTAGTGCCCATTTTTTATCAAAATTGTGTAGAGACTCGTGTCCATGCCTGATGCCATGTCACGAACTTGAAATAAATTCAGACATGTATTTTATAGTGTCCGACAAGTGTTCATATCTGGCAATTAATTATAATTGATTGGGAAGAAAGTGACTTCTAGTAACATACATTAGAGGACTTTGAAATATGAGATATTTAGCAATTTTTGACTCCTAATGATTTATATGATATTATTATTATGATTGAGAAATACTTTTTAATTACATGATTGATGCCTGGCAATAAGCAAGATGAGGTAAAAGTGAGACTTTGCTTGCCATTATGCCATGTGAGGGTTGTCTTTATTTGCAAAAGAGGTTTTATAAAAGACAAATTTTGCAAATAGAGTAGTGTATGCTCAAGAGAATTCTAACAATATATTATAAGAGAGTTATAGTTCAATGTTATGGTTTTATGTTATATAACTAGAACATACAAATATAAATATAATAGAATTTGTATGTAAATAAGTTGTGGGATTTATATTAAATATAAAAAAATATATAAATTTTAAATAAATAGATCTTAGATTAGCTGATAAAAGGCTTCAAGCATAACCACCCTTTTAGTTTATATCATTTAAATGAATTCTGCGAGTCTGACAAATTTCTTAATTTGGTCTTATTACCGCAATTTTATGTTATATTTCGGGGTATTACAATACAGACCACCAAATTCTTATGTATTTACATATCTGACACTTAAAACTTTATTTACTTACATTTATACCACCCAAATCTTTCATATTGCATCAAAAATATTTTTATTTTAATTTTTAAAAAGTGAAATACACTTTTGTTACTATATATATTTATTTATTTATTTATTTGTTTATTTATTTATTTATTTTTTGGTATACTGTGCCTAATGGATATAGCGTTGCGACTGAAAAAATAAGATTGAGAGATTGAGGGAAAAAGAAAGAGAGAGAGAGAGAGAGAGAGAGAGAGAGAGAGAGAGAGAGAGAGAGAGAGAGAGAGAGAGAGAGAGAGAGAGAGAGAGAGAGAGAGAGAGAGAGAGAGAGAGAGAGAGAGAGAGAGAGAGAGGTGAAGAGGATGACTTGCGGGAGAATAAAGTGTTCTAGAGCTCCTAGACCCATCTTATTCCAAAAAATTGGGGGGAACCAAAAACCAATTTTCATTAAAGGGTCATCATATTTATAGATAATATGATGGTAAAAAATAAATTACAATATTATCATTGCTTTAAAGGGGTTAGTACATAATTTTTTGGATTTTCTTATCTTCTTATCTGGGTCATTAGATTGTCTTGAGATTCATACAGATCATTTTTAGTATATATATCAAGTTCCCTTATTTTCTTGCTTCTTGATTGAAACAATTGTGATAAATATAATAAAATTTATAAAATAAACAAAACATGAGCACATAAACCACTATTGATACTCCTTGCTAGGGGCTCTATTTTGGCATCCTTTGCGCCTTCCGTTGTTAATGGAAACCCGGGATGGTTTGCCCGTTACCCCTTGTGGAATTTGTCGTTGTTGGGTGGCGAATCATCCTGAGGGTCGAAGACAATCGCTGTACACTTTCTCAGAGCTTGTCACTGTTGGGTGGCAAATCATCCCGAGGGTCGAAGATGATCACCGTACACCCCTCGAGAGTCAAAGATGATCGGCGTACACCCATCATGAAGCTTGTCGCTGCCGAGTGTAGAATCATTCTAAAGTTCAAAGATGTTTGTCTTACACTCATCGTAGAGCTTTTTGTTGTATGGTGGCGAAACATCTCAAGGGTAAAAAACGATCGTCGTACACCCCTCACAGAGGTTGTCGCTACCGCGTAGCGAATCATCTACACCCCTTGTGGAGCTTGTCACTGTTGCATGATGAATCATCTCTAGGGAATATGAGCCAGGTTCTAACCTTTCACTTGCATGGTGTCCTTGATCAAGAGCTCCGTCTTAGGTTGTCCCTTCTTTATGGAATGAGACTGCCTAGATTCCTCTTCTGGATGATTGTCATCGTACCTTTTCAAAGCTTGTTGCTACTGGGCAGAAACCATCTCTGGATGCCCATCCGATTTAAGCTATGAGACTTCAAATTGTTGTAAGAAAAGTTCTATAACTGGCCCTTGGGGGTGTTTTACCGATCAGATATATATGACGTCATTGTCGATGTTTTTTTTATGCCTTAAACCGATCAAACGCTTTTGGCATCGCAATCGGTTTTACTACCCGGGCCGAGTTCCCCAAGTGTCGAGTGGTCACGAGCATGCTTGAACTCCTTGATCTTGACAAGTTTTGACCTGATCTCTCACAGGGAAATACAAAATATTATTATGCACATGTATCATAGAGTATGCTATGAAAAAAATAACATGCTTGTAGCTTGGAAAAAAGAACATCTTATATCTAAAAGATATAGTTAATAAATCAGAGATTTAAGTCATCACCGAAGCAAATTTTAGATATATTAAAAAAATATATGTTTAGACCTATGCATGTAAAGAATAATTACTGTATTTGTCTAAATTATTAGATATGCAAAAGTTTCATTTGGAATTTCATATAGCCATAAAATTTTAATAAATCAGTGATATGCATATATTCATTTATATATTTCACTGTATATATGTATATATATTTATATATTTTAAATAAGAAGTGAGTGGTGTGTATGTGAATCTTCTTTCTTTATTTTATTTTATTTTTATTTTGAGGCGGTCCACTAGTGAGTGGTCAGTCAGAGCGAAGGTGTCCGTCGATAAAGTGGTTGACCGACAAATAAAACTATATTTTAGAGTTTAGATGTATAAAAACAAAATAATTGGGTGATATGTGTCTAAGGGTCTGTTTGGGGCATCTGAAGCTTATACAACTTCTGTTAATAAACAACTTATCCTGATAATCTGCTGATGAGCAGTTGATCCGGATAAGCTGTCTGACTGTTTGGTTTGTGCGTTTGGAAAACAACTGATTCTGGAGAAATTATCATTATACCCCTGTTTTGGCGGAGGCAGACCGTAGAATAAAAGCTTCAGCAGAGCAAAGCTTCCTTCGGCAAAGG